AGCTGCAACCATTAGAGCACAAAAGCACCGGAGCTGCGTTTTCTCCCCTCCATCTCTCTGCTCATATCTGTCCTCGTCTGTGTGAGTCTATTTCCACGATCCGTCAAACCGGAGCAGACCTGCGCGTGGAAACAGACACACAAGGACCGGAACAGACTCGAGCACAAAGCTAACATGCTAAATAAGTACTTGGTTTCTAAGTGCTTTATTTTTTTTATGGCACCGGCTGAGCACTGGATACACGTTGGCCTTTCCATGTGCTGTTGGACGTCCCTCCTGGCTTGTTTATGAGCACAGGGAGTGGTTTCACATGTGTGTGCTGAGCTACATGATTTGGATTGAGTGCTCCAGCCACAACATTGTGAGGTGTGTTGCCACCCATTCATCTGCAGTGAAGCCAGATTTTGAGCCATCTTTTTTATTTGAAGCCAGGCCCATCCACATTGCCTTCACACTCCTCTTTACCTTGGATAAAAGAACAATAGAGCCTCCTGGAGAAACCAACTGTTCCACTAACAAGCTAACATTAGCTGCATCGTGCTAATTATGCAGATTAGCTGAAATAATCAGTGGCGGCAACCACGTAATAATAAAAATGGTCCTCACTTAAATAGCGCTTTCCTACCTTACTCGAAGCACTTTACGGTGTTTTTCATTCACACACTGTGGCATGCAGAGAGGCCACAGATCGAACCACCAACCTTGTAATTAGTGGACGGGCTGCTCCTCCACCTGAGCCACAGCCACCCCGATGCACTGAAAAAAGATCACTGACAGTTTTTCTAGAGGGAGGCTGACACTTTCTGAATAGCATCAGCTGGAGCCAGCATCTAGTGACAGTCTAAGCTGCTGCACTTTAAGGTATTTGCTTCAGCCTCTATTACTGGGTACAGACAGCGGCGCCACATAATCTCGTCTAATCTTCTTGTCTTCCATTAAGGGAAAAGTGTTTATGTTTTATAGTCTGTTTTAATTTTTGTTAGTCAGCATGCTGACCTGAGCCCGTCTCCTCTCTCTCGCTGCAGTGGGGAAGACGTGGACATGTGCGACGTGTGATAAGAAGTATCTGACCGAGTACATGCTGCAGAAACACGTCCACCTGACCCACGAGAAGGTGGAGGCCCAGTCGTGTCACCTCTGTGGAACCAAGGTGTCGACCCGCGCTTCCATGAACCGGCACCTGCGACGCAAACACCCTGAGGTGAGATCCATATGGTACCACCCAGAGCAGGAGCTGGTGCTGACTCCTGAAGACAGACTTACTGAGTGTCAACCTTTAACCTGCAGATCGTGTCTGTGAGAATCGACGAGTTTGATGACCTTCAGGAAAACTCCACAATCAATGATTCATCCATCAGCATCGTGCAGGTTAGACTGAAACTCTGGATTTCACATGTCTTGGAGCAGAACGATGACACACAGTAGCTGGAGGTCAGAGGATCTGGCTGCAGCTTAACAGCAGACCTGAGGGCTG